GAAATTAATTTATTTTAACAAAATTTTCGCTTTTGTTTTTGAAATTTTTATTTTTAAAATTTTTAAAAAATGTTCTAATTTTTTTTTTGAAATTTCTTAAAAGTTTTTTAAAAAAACTTTCAAAGGAAGGACTAATCACAAGGCTTTATCTGGAACACCCTGTTAATGAACAAGGGGAAAAAATAAATATTTAAAAATATTAAAAAAGTTTTTAAAAAATTTTTTGGCAAAACATTCGGATAAAAATCAAAAATCAATTAAAATAAATTAATTTCCCGAATAAGGATTCGAACTTGGGGGAAAAAAGTAAATTCAAGGACGCTACCACTGCGCAACCGCAGAACACATTCATAACTGAAATTGTTTATATGAAGAAAAGAAAACTTTGGGGGCTTATAACTCGGTCCATGGTACCATTCAGCGGAAACGGATTCAAGTTTTACAATAGAAAGGGTATAATCTAGCTGTGTACCAAATTTCATCCCGAAGTCCCACGGACATCCAAAAGCCTCTCCTTTGTAAGCCCTTAACCAATCTGCCACACGCTTATATAAGGGCGGTTGAAAGAAAATAAACATATGTATTTCTTTCATTTTTCTTTTAATACCAAGTAAGAGAGTACGAGCAGTTTATTAATATTTTTAGAAAAAACGAATCCTTAGGGTGTAAAAAAGTTCCGGTTTCCCCGGAACCGATTTGTAAACCGAAGCCGGTTTACTTCCTGTCGCGTTTTGCGACGAGAAAAAAAGAATATTAAAAAATAATGCATCACATTTAAATTATTTTGTTTGATTCATATTTAAAAAATTTATTTCGATTTCATTTTTTGTTCCACCCCCAAAATAATCATTATAAAAGACAAAAGCCTATAAACTTACATTCACATTCATTAGTAGTAAGTCCCCCACAAATGTATCACTTGAGGGGTCCATTGAAAAAGCCTGTGCCTGAGGTGCGGTATTTTTTCTTTGAAGATGCCGCCAAATCCGTGCCTAGAGGGCACTTTTTTGCGCGAAAAGTTAATTTTTGGCGCAAAACCCCTCCCTTTGGAAGGGGTTTGGATTAATTTTGCGCGAAAAAACAATGTTTTGGCGCAAAACCCCTCTTTTTTCGGGAGGGGTTTATAATTTTTGGGGGTGCCAAAAAATTTACCGCACTCAGGCACAGGCTTTTTTAATGGACCCCTCGAGTGATACATTTGTGGGGATAAAAAAATTATTTAAAATATTTATTTAAAATAAAATTATTTAAAATATTTATTTAAAATAAAATTGTTTAAAATAAATTTTATTTAAAGTTTTTAAAAATGAATGCGGAAAATGATAGGTTTGATCATTTTCTGAAAAACGCCTAGGAACGCCCCCTATTTTTTAAAAAATTATAAATATTCAAATATTCAAAATATTTTTTCAAAGGTTAAAAATTAGTTTAACAATTTATTTTTTTACAAAAGGCTTCCAAAAAATTCAAAAAAATTTTTTCAAAAAAATTCAAAAAAAAATTCTAAAAAAAGTTTTTAAAGGTGAAATGAAGCAATATAAAAGGGGGCATATTTTGTAAACTATTGTCATTATAAAAATTTATTTATTTTTGTAATAAATTATTTTAAAATTAATTTTAAATAAATTTAATAATGAAAGAGCTTATCCCAATTGTATCCTTTTCTGCTACTACAAACGGATTAACAATATCATCCCCTAAATTAAATACTCCACGTTTTGTTCCCTTTGATATTTCTGGAAAATGTACAACCTGCCGATCAGATGACGTGGAAATTGATTACGTCATTACCATAAAAGGAATTCATATTATCAGTAATAGACTTAAGAAGGAAAAATTTGTCGCTTTTGATATAATCGAGAGATATGGAGAGACCAACGTTTTTCGCTTCAAAACACGTAGAAAGGTTTTCAGTATACAAGTTGACAAAGAAAAAAAATCTATTCCGGACTCAATCAATCAACGATGACTTTTTCAATTTACAATGCGCAACCGGAAATGGAAATTCCTTATTCCGATCACAATCAATTATTGACGAATATTTGGAATTTCCACCTGAAAAAAGATTGAAATTGGAAGAAAAGGAAAATGCAGAGAAAAATTCCAATGAAGGTATCGTAAAAGAAGATAACAAAGCAAAGTCAGACGAAAGTGAAAATATAATAGAAAAGGAAGATGACAAAAAGTCAGCCGGAAATATAGAAGAGCAGGATGATAAGAAAAAATCAGAATTTATAGAAGAGCAAGAGGATAAGGAAATGCCAGACGAATGTAAAGAAGAAACAATAGAAAAAAAGGAAATTTAGATAAATTAATTAGATAATTTGTTTTCATTTTTTAAAATTTATTTTCACTTTTAAATAAAATATGTTAAGCCAACTTGAATTATATCAAACCTATTCCAAAAATGATTTGAAATTGAAATTACCTTTTGGATGTATAGTTAGCGGGCCTAGTTCAAGCGGAAAGAGCACTTTTATAAGAAATTTAATTAGTGATGCAAAAGAAATGATTGACCCACAACCTAAGTCTATTCTTTATTGTTACGGAGAATTCAGTTTATTAGTTTCACAACTACAAAGAGATGGAATTTCGGTGTATTCGGGAGTTCCACCAGAAGAATTAATAAAAAAGCAACAAAAACCTTCGTTAATAATTCTTGACGACCTTTTATATTCGATTGATGAAAAGTATCTTTCTGAACTATTTACAAAAAAGTCACACCATCTTGATTTTGGAATTGTCTTTGTCACGCAAAATTTATTTGAAAAGAAACTAAGAGTTGCTCGTCAAAATTCGATGTACTTAGTATTAACTCGAGCTCCAAACGGCGCACTATCTATCAGAAATTTGGGAGTACAATTATTTCCTGGAAAATTGGAATATTTTCTCGACGCATATCGACAGGCAACGCGTGATAAATATTCATATTTATTTATCGATATTCACCCATCTTCCGACACAACACTGCGACTTAGAACAAATATATATGACTTTTTGAAGCAAAAAAAAGATTCAGATAATTTTGAAACTACTATATTTTTACCAAAATCTAATTAGTTATTAAAAATGATAAGTCAAATAGTAAAAAATAATTATCAGTTCCTTAACCAATTATCAAAAACGAGATCAATAAGAAAGAGAAAACGTCTATTAAAACAAGCATTTATAGAACAATTGCTTTCAATTGCTGAAATTTGTCTAAATATTGTACGAAATAAATTTCAACTAACAAAACGACAAAAAGGTCGATTAGTGCCATATGCTGATTTTGTTCGTCGCATTAGTCGTGTAAGAACAGTACGCGGTGCACGGAGAATTGTCATACAAAAGGGCAGCGGTCTCCCCCTAGGGCTTTTTCCAGCATTACTTACACCAATAATAATTGAATTATCAAAAAATATTGCATCAAAATTTTCTTCAAATTAAATGGCTAATAAATTTATCCTTGTCCCAGAGGATATCTATCGAGGATTATTGACTCAACCATCTTCAGACACAGGAAACATTAATTTGGATTATACGCGAAAAAATTTGGATATTATTAAAAGACAACACGATAACAATGAATTAAAAAATATCAATTACAATCAAGAATTACGTCGTTATCTACACATGCTAAAGGAGCAAAATCAAACACCAGCAGGCGTAGCCGTTCGTAAAATTGATAACCCAGCCCTTGATCAGATAAAACAATTATTGCCCCTAATTACTCCTACACAAAATGAGAATACAGCTGATTTAAATATTACAAAACCATCGATAAATGATGAGGAAAAAGAGGTTACAGAGGACTCTATGTATACAGCAGATGAAGGGAGTGACGTGGAAACACCCAAAACTTCAAAGACACCAAAATCTAAATTAACTCAAAGGACTTCAATTATATATCATTTCATGAAGAAAAATTTTGAAAAATATAAGGTGAATAAAGAAGATAAAATTTTAAATGAGAAAGGAACAAAAGAAATTGTAGGAAGTAATGTCAAAAAATCCCTTGATTGCATAATACGCTCGGATTTTACTGGAAAGCATAAATGGAATGGAGTTTCACCGCCTGGTACTACTATTTTAGAGAAAAGGTTGAGAAATGATCCGCATATTTGGCAATTAATTGAAAAAGCTAAAACACCCATTACACCAAGACGCATTACTCAGCCCAAAAGAATATCTCAAGGATTCAAATCAAAACAATCGTCATTATTTGAAGGAGAATGGAAACCACCAAAGGAGTGGATATAATACTGGATCGACTTTATAATGATCCCGCAAATCCCGCTGGGTTTGCTGGTATTAATCAATTATGGATAGAGGCAAAAAAGAAGGATAAAAGTATAAAAAAGAAGGATGTGATTGAATATTTAGAAGGTCATCGTACATATACAATTCATCGCCCTAGACGTGTGCGGTTCAAAAGATCAAGGACTATGCCTGCAGGTTATATGACAGATGTTCAGTGTGATTTGGCCGATTTTCAAAAACTATCTCGGCAAAACAATGGTTATAATTATGCTCTTGTTGCAATAGATGTCTTGAGTAAACGTGTTTTTGCAGAACCTGTACGAACAAAGAAAGGAAAGGACATGATCCAGGCATTTGAAAGTATTTTGGAAAGAATGGAAATGCACCCTCATAGAGTTTTCAGTGACAAGGGTACAGAGTTTACAAGCAAGGAAATGGCTGAATTCTTCAAAGCGAAAGACATTGAAAAGTTTACACCGAATTCATCAACAGTCAAAGCTTCTCTTGCCGAACGATGCATCCGTAATATAAAACAACGGCTTTATAGATACATGAGTGAGAAACATACATTAAAATGGGCTGAAGCGATACATAAGATAGTGGATGCAATAAATCACTCAAAATGTCGTGCAATTGGAGGATTGAGACCAATTGATATTAGTTTTAATAATGCAAGAAAAATAAGAGAAAAAATTTATGGACGTATAGGTTCTAATATAAATCGAAAGAAGACCCGATTTCAAAAGAATGATTTTGTACGCATGAGTCGTAACAAAAATGTCTTCGCAAAAGGATATCTACCTAATTACTCTGACGAAATCTTACAAGTGGATCTTGTGAAAAATAGAGCCAACCCCAACAGATATCGAGTTAAGGATGAAAAAGGAGAAAATTTTGAAGGATACTTTTATCCTGAAGAGTTGACAAAAGTGAGAAAAGATGAAAATACAAGTTATAGAATTGAAAAGATTATCAGTAAAAGAAAGAAAAAAGATGGAAAGAAGGAATATCTTGTGAAATTTTTCGATTACCCCAATTTAGAATGGATAGATGAATCACAATTTGTATAAAAAATTTTCTATTATTAATTGTAAATCATTTAATTCAAAATAAAATTTGATAAATATGGAAAATACTTTTTTTGTTGTATTACCTAGTAATGTTAGTGACTATTCTGATAATAAGCCTAACAAATTCCGATCACATTTGGCAAAACCTATTCAGTTTCAAGGAGGAAATTGGGTATGCGGTTTATATAGTATTCAATATCCGCAATCGTGGGCAGCTACAATTGGTACAGATGAAAAACAATGGATAGAAATCAATTACAAAAACAAAAAGACATTCAAATTTGGTATCCCGAAAACAACACAATTAACTGCAAAAGGCTTGGGGTTTTTTCTTAAACTAGTACTTGCAAAAGTCCAAAAAGAGGAAGCTAGAAAGCGCAGAGAGGTTAATACTTATACAGAAGATGATATTCAAAAAGATTCCCCTATTAAAAAACGATTCAGAAGAGAAAAAGAAATTAGCAAAAATCAGACAGACACTGTTCAAATTGAAGACTGGCTAGATGATTTTTTTATCAAGTACCCGAATTATTGGCATGCTATTAAAGATTTTGAACAAGATTTAAAAAAACATAAGTTAAGTGTTGAAGAAAAAACAAAACAAGTTATGAATGAGAACAACACGGAGCAGAAATCTGTCTTTGAATCTCAACTTCAACATTTGAACACAATAACTGAAGAAAAAACAAGAAAATTTAACCTTTTAACGAATGAGGCCAAGAAAAGAGATGATCTTGATAGGCAGGCAAACCAATCACAGATGATTGGACAAAATGAAGAAATAGAAAAAGAAATACAAGAAGAAGAGAAACAATATTTTTACTTTGATGAGGAACAAAAAGAAGAGTCCATTAAAGAAAAATTACAAGTAATATACGAGGAAAATGAAGCGCAAAATCAGGATTTATATAGTGAAATTGAATTTGAATATTTGGAAAGTATCGATCGATTTCGCGCACAGTTTAACAACCCAGAAATCATCTCAATAAATATTTCCCCACAACTTTGCTATGTTCTAGGATTTCCCTTGCAGCCTATAAAGAATGAGCAAATTGGAAAATACGGGATTGACCTAAAAGGAGGTTTTACAAGTTTTGCAGTGTACTCGAAAGGATTGACCAGCAGTGTAATAATGGGAAATGCAATTAGTTCTTTATTAAGGATTGTCTCTGTTGAAAATAAATCGGGAGGCGTCATAGAGAGAGTCTACGATCACCCAATGTTTATCCCTGTCCAGCCAAGAGAAATTAATGAAATAGAAATCGAATTGCGATGGTTGAACGGAAGCCTAGTAAAATTTGATCATGGAACAGTTATTGTGACATTAATGTTTAATAAAGTTTTAAGATTTTAATTTGTTTCATATATCATTTTTAAAATTATTAATAAAATAAATCATAAATTTATTAGTTTTATATCTAAATATGGTACATATTCCTTTTGACACTAGAGAAATTGGGTATGATGACCATCACGAACAAATCCAAATAGGAGAAGGAGGATTCGCTTTGCAAAACGATGGATCCTATTATTTTCGTGGACATGGGCCATTTCAAAGAGGATACGGACGCCAAACGGGTGGAGGAGTTGGTGATGTACTGCGACATTTTTGGCGTTTCCTTTTACCATATGCTCGTCGAGCCGGAACAGCCGTAGCTAAAGAAGCTTTAGATACGGGAGGAAGAATTTTGGAGAAAGTTGAGAATTCTGCATCACACGAAGGAGGAAATAATTTAAAAAGTACCGTCATAAACGAAGGAAAACGTGGATTAGATAGATTATTAGAGAGAGGGGGGCTGCCAAAACAATTTGGAACGGGGTTGCGCCAGAGAAAAAAAAGTATAAAAAGAGCCAGAACAAAAAATCAAAATCATTTGCCATTAACAACACAAAATAAAAATCAGATATTAGTTGGAAAAATCTCAGCAAATACACCAAAAAAGAAAAGAAAGAAAATTGATACATTTGGTTTATATTAAAAATGTCAATTCACCACAAAATTGATCGAGAATCAGCAAATGCAATCACTAATGCACTTTCATTTTTTGAAACACCAAATACAAATGTCAGCGTAACTAATTCATCAGTTATTGAACTCCTTACACTTAACCCAGTAAATATCACTCCGTATCACTTTAAAATTCACGCAAGCACAAATTACATAGATTTAGCAAAATGTTACGTGTTTATTGAACTAAAAATCCTTAAAGAAGATAAAGATGGAAGAATGATTGAGCTAGGAAAAGATGATAATGTAGCTGTCTGTCAATTAATAGGCCATACTATATGGAAAAATTGTAGAGTGTCAATAAATGGCACACAGATATTTGAAGGAAACTCGTTAATGGCCTATAAAAGCATTTTTGACTATGAACTCACATACCCACAAAGTGTAAAAAATTCTTATCTATCTGTGGCAGGATATTATGATGATGGGGACAATCAAACTGAGACAAAAGTCGAAACGGTTGGTTATGGATACAAATCAAGAAAGAGGTTGTTTTTGGACGAAAATGGAAATCCCTGTAGCGCCCAGTTCATGTCAAAATTGGATGTAGATATATTTAACCAGCCACGATATCTGGTAAATCAATGCGAGGTCGATATTGAACTCTTGCCCAACGACTCAAATTTTTTACTGAATACTCCCATGGAAAATGCACCTAAATATCAAATAGAAGTAATCGCGTGCAAACTTTACGTTAAGAAAATTGAGCTGATGGATAGCTTAGCATTTGATATAGCGAAAAAATTAGAAATAAAACCTGCTCGTTACCCTATTAGAAAAACTTCATTAAAATCACTCTTCATAAGCGAAAATCGGACAGAATTCAACGCGAACCTATGGATGGATCAAGTACCACGAAGAATCATATTAGGAATGGTTGATAATAAAAGTTTTGTTGGTATTCAGAAACATTATCCCTTCTATTTTCAACATTTTAATTTGAGAGATATTTCAATAACAGCCGGAGGAACGGTTTTCCCGGCATCGCCTTATTCTCTTGATTTTTCAAAGGGAAAGTACTCTCGAATATTTCATGATATGCAAGAAGCAATTGGGTATGCAGGTACACTCGAAAGTAATGGCATTTCTATGGAACGATATGCTAAAGGAGGATTTTGCTTTTTTGTATTTAACTTAACAAATAGCCAGGAGGATAATGGCCCCGAAACATTTGATCTCATTAAAAATGGTACAACAAGTATTAAATTGACATTCAACGAACCAGTTCCTTCAGGGGGAATTGTTCTCATTGCAATGGGTGAAGTGGATTCATTGTTAATGTTAGACAGAAATAGAACAATTACAAGTGATATATCAGTATAAAAAATCCGAATTTAATTTACATTTCATTTAAATAATTAAAAAACATAAGTAATTACTTTTTTGTTAGTAAATATTTCAATAATTTTTTATTAAATTTTTCATAATGTTAAAAAATCTGACTATCTCTAATAATGATAAAGATATAAAATTTGATATTTTGAATAAAATGAATAAGGAAATAGATTTGCCATTACCATGCAAGGAAATAAAAGACAATTACGGAAATTACAATTTTTACTGCATTGCACTGATTTTACTTTGGTTCATGTTGATAGTGTCCTCAGTGCTTTACCAATTAAGAGCTATTATAAACATAAAAAATAAGATTACTCAAATACCAAATAGTGTAAAACCAAACGACGATAACAATGAACACAACGCAAATTGAAAAAATATTGTTTCAAAATAACATTACAGGAAGATTTTTCGTAGGATGTTTTGCCGCAGATAAAATACCAACTGATATTACAAAATTTCCAGCTTCAATGATAGTTAATCTAGACAGAGCAATTAATGAGGGATCTCATTGGATAGGACTGTTTGCATTGAATAAAACAACAATTTATATACTCGATTCACTATTAATTCCAAATTTGCCTTCAACCATAAATAACTTTTTGTCAAAATTTCCAAAACAAATAAAAAACAAAATACTACTACAAAGCCCTTTATCAACAGAGTGTGGACAACATTGCATCGTATTTTTGTATTTCATTTCTCTAGGATATACATTTGAAAAGTATCTCCATATCCTAAATTCTTATTCAAATCCCGATGAATTTGTACGAATAATTGTAAATAAACTACTTTATTGAATTTAAATTCGATAAATATATTAAAAAATAAAATAAAATTTTAAAAATATTAAGCTGAAGAAGATACAGTTTTTAGGGGTAAAAGTGCATAATTAATGAAAAGAAGAGGAAATTTAAGAAAAATTAAGGAAAACTAACAAAAAATCAAATATTACTTTGAAGAAAAAAGCGTAATAGTATGTTTTTCCCACATTTTTTTATCATTAACATATAGCCAAAGGATTCCCCGCTTGAGTTCATCAGATGCTTCAGTTGACTGTTTTTCTTTAAAAGTTGAGTTTGTAGAGAAAGAATCTAAGGATTGAACAGATTCGGAGGACGATGATGCTTTTTTTCGAAGATTTTTCATAATAATAGGTGAATCAGAATCGGACTCATCAAAATCTTCCACTAGATCGAGAAGTTCAAGAGGGTAGTAACAATTTTTGAATTGAATGCATGGATGAAATGGATATTTCAGCATAATTTTGTGCCTAGCATGGAAATATGCACTTACGCAAATATTGAAAGGTTGCTTAAGATTTCCATAAGCCATTATTTGATGAGAACCGAGTGAAGAAATTCCATCACAATATATTTTTTGTTTTTTTCCATTTCTATCTAGATAATTGGTTTTTAAAGCCTTTCCTCTTATTTCATTTAGGACTCGATCTCTATCACACTTATTTGTCAAGCGTTGTCTGACATTATCAATTGTACAATCTAGAATTTTTGAAATTCTTTCAATGAGATTTGACATTTTTTATTAATAAATATCCAAAAATAATTATTCAAATTTAATTTAAAATGAATGAATACAAAGAAAATGATTCGCTTTTATATCTGATGATTTGTGATAACGTAAATATTTGCATATCACGCCCATTTTCTGAGGTATAAATATCTGAATTTTGGAACCCAAAACTTCATTCTTAAATAATTTTAAATAAAATTTGAAAAGATGTCCACTCCTAATTCTCCAAAGACATCAGATACTGAGTCTAAAGCTGTTGAAGTGATAGAAATCATGGATGAAAATACAACAGCCAAGGAGAATTCTGGGACAATTGATGTCTGGTTAAGTAAAAAGACAGCACAAAAGAAAACTAATTCAAAAAATCCTACAAAAGTATCTACAAATAGCAAAATGTTGTGGAAATTAGTTAGAATGAAATACATTCCTCGACTAGAATTTAGACTTTGTCGCACATGTTCAAATGTGCTTTTTCACAGTACAAGTCGCGTGACTGAAAATCAAGATGGAGGAGTAAAAATTAGCTTTGATCTTTGCAAACAGTGTGTTCAGCTCAATATGTTAGTAAAAGATGTGTTATGTGATTGGGATATAAAGAAAACATCAGTTGGACAAGAAATTCAAAACTAATAAAAAAGTATTTAATCACACTTATCATATCAAAAATATATTTCAGATTTTTCACTTTATTAAATGGAAATAAATATTTAATTTTAAAATTTTAAATATTAGGTTCAGTGTTAAATATTTAAGCAAAAAATTTTCAAAACTTTTTTAACTTTTAAAACTTTAAGCTTTTTAATTTTTTTAAACTAAATGTTAGAAAAATCGGCACTAATAAAGAAAAATAAAGAAAAAAACTTTTCTTTTACTTTCACTTTCAACTTTATTTCATTTCCTTCTCAACAGACAAACATATTTTCACTGATCAGATCACGTTTAAACGGCAGTTCTTTGAAGCTAGAAAAGAATTCATTTCCCTTTTCCTTTTTCCTTCCCCGACTGGCAAACATTCTTTCACTGATCAGTTCAAATTTGAACGGCATTTCCTTGAAGCTAGAAAAGCATTCATTTCCCCTTTCCTTTTTCCTTCCCCCCGACTGGCAAACATTCTTTCACTGATCAGTTCAAATTTGAACGGCATTTCCTTGAAGCTAGAAAAGCATTCATTTCCCCTTTCCTTTTTCCCTTCGCCGACTGGCACATTCTTTTCACTGATTAGATCAGCTCTGAACGGCAGTTCTTTGAAATAAAGGCGGAACTTTGTGGCAATATGCTAATTTCACCGTTTATAAAGCCAAATGATAGGTAATTTCTTCATATTAATTTAATTTTCCCAGTTACCCTTTTAAAATTTTTTAAATTTTTCTTTAACTTTTTTTTTATTATTAAATTTAAATTTTAGTTTTTATTTATTAATTTATAATGATAACCAGTTCTTCCGAAAATCCCGTTTACGAACTCGTTATCGACGAGGTCGAATCTAACGGTAAAAAAATTTAAAAAAAATTTCATTTAATTTAAAAATATATAGAAATGGATCGTGGGTGGCCTTTTTCGGCTGATCGTGGAGAAAGAGCGAGAGGACTCTCGCCGGATGTTCATCATACGCAACTCCGATTAATGGAATTGCGAAGAGCCGAATTATTGTCGACTCCAAATAATGATCCAATGATGGCACAAGGAACTTCTGCAATTGCTCCGTGGGAATGGACTCCCGAAAACCGTTATGCTGATTGGGTCCCACCTGCAAATTGGAATTGGGAATCTGGAAGTTCATACGGTAATTTCTTTCAATATTTTCGGGTTTAGATGGGGTATAAAATAAATAATTTATATTTTTTAGTTTCTACACCGACACATATGCCAATTGGACTTGCCGAGGAAATTGTGCCTTGGCAATTGCCTCAACAATTGGATGATGGTGTTTCGTATGAACTGGTCGCATCACCTACACCACCACCATCACCTACACCACCACCAGTTTATATGGATTTGGATGTGTTCAATTTTGAAAATATTGCGCCGGCTCAACAACAACAAATTGAACAGCAACAACAACAACAAATTGAACAGCAAGAACCGACACCACCAACAGAACCACCAACAAAAAAGAGGAAAACTACTACTCCTCCTGTAAAACATGCGTCCGATGTTTGCATCGGATGTTTGTGTACACAGGAGGAGGTCAACATAACTTTTGGCCCAAGTGGTTGTTCCTGTGTTAACTACTGTGCGGACTGTGTGAATGATGGAATCGAAGAGAAGCTTGCGAATATGTTTGATTGGAAGAAGTCTGTGGACTATAATAAAATTTTAGGAGAATTTCCACATTGTGCATGTTGTAAAGCTGAATACAATCGTTTGGTTCGACGTTCGCGTCGAACCAAACGTAGTAATCCGCGATTTTTTTAATTTTTAATGTAATGTTAATTTTTTATGATAATTGTCTTTATTTTTTTATCAAGTAAAAATATTTGTTGTTTTTTATTTATTGAGTTTTAGGTTAAGTTTAAAGTTTAGGTTAAGCTTGAATTTTTTATTTAAAAATTTATATTAAATTTGCATAGGAAATCGCTTACATTTTATCGTAATTATTCATAGTTCAAACTTGATTTGTCTTTTTATACATAGGTAACTTCTCCATTACTTATTCATAGACACATTCCTTCCCCTTACTTATTCATGACACATTCCTTTCCCTTAATTATTCATAGTATTTGAAATGAAATGGCGCTCTGTATAAACATGATACGCCCATATTACCAGCTAGTATATAAAGCGTTGATATTGCACAGTTCTTTCATTTCATATTTTTTCAAACAAAAACATGTCCGGCTGTAGCCCACCCAAACGCCCCAGATTTTTTATTGAAAATATTTTAGGAAATGATAACAATCAAAGAAGAGATCAAATTGAACAAATAGGCATAGGGTCATTAAAAGATTTTATTGAACAACTCGATTCTGAGACTCGATATTGTAAAAAATTCAAAATAATGAAAATTGTTTCGAAATTTGTCATCAAAAACGTTCCGCCTAATCCCGAGGAACTGCTTAGACGCCTCATCGACGAGTGTATCAAACAAGCAATCAAAGAATCAAAGACGAAAGATATTATTGTGGACCACCTTGGGGCTTTAATTTCCTCACCAATACTCGACAGTGATATCTGGATTCCAATTCGCAAACTACATATTGACGCTGTTGAAAATATACTACAACGATTTCTTCTTGTCTCTCAATCTAAAGCTGAACGTGGATCTCTTTGGGGCGAGCCATTCACGTTGGCAATACATTCTCTGGACGTTGCTTCTTTGCCAAAGGAAAAATCAATAACAGGAAGTGGACCTCAAGATCAACCTGCTAATTCAAATTGGCTCATACATGTTCAAAATATTAATGATAAATATTGCCTTTTCTATGCTTTGGAACTTACAAGGAAATATGTAACGAAGGAATTAGGAAGTAGATTAAAGTTTAGTCGATATCATTTGGGGCGATTCCATAAGCAAAAATCAGATGTAATGAAATTAATGCAGGATATTGGTATTCCATTGAACAAAGAAAAATATGATGCTCAAACTTATGTCCCAATGGTCGTTGATTATTGGAATAAATGTTACATTAACAACGGATATCGCTTCAAAGTGTTTATATTTGGGAATAAAGCAGAGACAACTCCAAAGTACAAATATGGTTCCGAAACTTTCAACACTGCAATTCCAATATGCCATTCTGAAGGTCATTTCGATGGAATTAGAACTGTTGGCGCTCAATTTGGCCCACATTGGCAATATTGCTACTCTTGCGAAAAGAAGTACTGGAAAGCAAACGAACACGCTAACAATTGCAAATCCCGATGTCGTCTATGTGGAAGAGTTGGAATAGGAATGCCTTGCCCTGTTTCTGAAAACTTTAGAAAAGAATGTCAAGATTGCGGGAAAAAGTTTTGGGAAAAGGAATGCTTCGACCATCATAAGTCTAGCAACCAATGTCAAAGGTCAAAACAATGTGACAAATGCGGTACAATATGGAATGTAAAAGTGCACAGAGATAATAGAGGAAAACAACATGTTTGTGGACAAAAATGGTGCAACAACTGTCTTCAATTTCACAGTGCAGAAAGAGGATGTTTCATAAGACCGCTTGAACAAAAACAACAAACAACTTATAGATTGGTGACATTCGATTTTGAAGCTACTCAACATACAAAATTTAATGACAGTTCATCAGATCGACTTCATTGTGTGAATTTTATTGCTGCCACTGTAGTTTGCACTAATTGTATGTTGGATAAAAAGCACTGGAAAACATTTCTAAGACGTGACAAAAAATTTTGTAATGTTTGTGGCCCAAATAGAAACATCACTTTTTCACAACGCCCCTTTTACAAAACAAAAGTCGACGAGCAACGAGTTACAACAAATCCTCTTCATGAATTTGTCAATTGGTTACTCTTCGAACTTGATGGACGCTTTACAACTATGGCATTTTCTCACTTTGGTGGAAGATATGATATGGTGATGGTTTTCCGAGAAATTTTTGCAGCAGGGATTGTTCCATCAATGATTCGACGAGGAAATAAATTATATGAAATGAAGGTTCCACGCAATAATAAATGCAATGAAGTAATATTCCGTGACTCTTACAACATTTGCCCAGTAGGTCTAGGTCAACTTGTTGGTGCTTTCGATCTACAAATCCAAGAAAAACAATTCTTTCCACATTTGGCAAACAATCCCAACAACTACGACAAAACACTTCCAAACCTCCCTCAAAAATCTGATTATTTGTATGGTGGTATGCTACCAGAAAAGCAAAAGAAGTTTGATAAGTGGTACGACCAAGAATGTCACCAACCTTTTTGTTTAAATGAAGCTCTAGCTGAATATTGCTTGAATGACGTTGAAATCCTAACAGAAGCATTATTAGCATTTCGCAGCAAATTTTTAGAAATTAGCCGACCAAAACAAACAACAGGTTCAATTGGAATAGATATTATACGTGATACAATGACAATAGCGTCTGCATGCATGAAACACTTTAGATTAAATCATCTGAAACCTGATCATTTGGGTATTGTTCCTGAGAAAGGATATGACACATGCGACAACCAAAGCACATTGGCTATGAAATATCTCGACTGGTATGCTGAAAAAAATTCTGTTGTGATTCAAACTGCCCACTCTGAGGAAGGTGAATATAAAGTTGCTGGAAGATTTAAAGTTGACGGATATATAAAAAGTGAGGATAGAGCAATAGAAGTAAATGGATGTGTGTGGCATGCGTGTCCAAAACACTATGGGGATCGTCCAGATTTCATATTACCCAGTGGAAAGACAGTTGAAGTTATTCAGAAGGAAAATAAAGAGAGAATTCAAATTTTAAAACAACATATACGACATGTCGACATAGTGTGGGAGTGTGAGATAAAAGATCTGTTAAGAAGAGATAAAAAAATGAAGAAGAGTTTTTCAAACTATATAGATAAAGGACCGATTAAATTACGAGATTGCTTCTTTGGTGGGAGAACTGGTCCATTTAGTCTTCACTATGAGGCAGACGATCAACATGATATTACATACTTAGACTTCAACTCGCTTTATCCATCGACAATAGCAACAACAGCATTTCCTGTGGGACATCCAAAAGTAATCATAATACCATCAAATGAGCAAAAAGTAAATTGGTACAACAGCAGCCATATTCCTGTGAAAGGAATCCTCAAAGTTTTTTTAATACCGCCACAACACTCAGATATTCCAGTCATGCCTGTAAAATTCGATGATAGATTACTTTTTCCACTATGTCGACAATGTTCACTGGATTTTCCCCGAGGCGCTACATTACATGAATACAACTGTACACATAATGGTGAAAAGAGGGGATGGGTTTCAACATGCACATCAATTGAATTGGCTGAGGCTTCAGACAATGGATATAGAGTGAGCAAATATTTTAGAGCACTTCATTATGATAAATGGGATGGTGAACTCTTCAAAGAATATGTTGCAGAATTTATGAGCATGAAAATCCATTCAAGTGGGTTCCCAAAACAAATTGATAACCGAGAAAAAGAAGATGAATTTATAATGGAATGCAAGAAGAGATTTGGAATCAAACTAGAAAGAGAAAAGATGATGCCAGACAAAGCAATGAGGTACATTTCCAAGTTAATGTTAAATTCACTCTGGGGCCGCTTCAGTCTTAGGAATACTTTGACAAAAAGCCATATCACAGATTCGCCTGCCGAACTTAGAACATTTGCAGAGAATAAATCAATAGAAGTCAATTCAATAGACAAATTAACAGAAGACACCATTTTAATAACTTATGAGCCTAAAAATGAATTCATTGAGGAACACAATGCTTACAACATTGTCATTTCTCTTTGGACAACCTCAATGGCAAGAATAAAATTATTAAGAGCAATGCAGAAAATAGTCAGAACACCAGACTGTTCAGTATTGTACGGCGACACAGACAGCATTCTATTCGCTCATCCAAAACAACGCAAATGCCCTCTTTCCGATGGACCATATCTAGGGGATCTAGCAAAAGAATATGATGATTGTGAGATAAAAGAATATGTGGGGGCTGCTTGTAAGGCATATGGACTAAAAATGATAGATAGAGAAACGGGCCAAGAAAAGACATCACTGAGAGTTCGAGGAATAACACTTAACGCAGATGTGTGCAAGAAGCTTCATTACAAATCATTCCGAGAAAGTGTTTTGGAATTTGGAAGAATGATGGAAAAGAATGAATCAGAAGGTACAGAAAATGATTTAATTTTAGTCAATTATCCCCATTTCATAAGACCCAATATTAAGAAAGGCATTGTATGTACCACACACATTTCCAAAAAATTTAGCCCTATTATTTTAAAAGGAATTGTTTTACCAAATTATAGAATTGTTGACTTTGGTTATAAATTGTAATATTGGCTATAAAATTTAAATTTAAACTAATTCATTTCATTTCCAAGTGAACAATTTTAAATATTTTAATTAAAAATTTATATTTGTTAAAATAATAAACTTTTTCCCTCAGACAAACTCAAATTATATATAGGATATAAAATTAAATTGTAAAAATTCAACAAAAATTTATTTTCGATTAAATAGATTAGATATTTCATTAATCCGATTATATTTTAATTTTATCACTTTCCTATCATCATTGTAAAAACTACCTTTTGATGATATTGAAGCTGTCTCCCACTCATTTAAGTCTATATTGATTGGACCATTATTTTCTTCATAATTTTCTACGAATTTTTTGATTTTTTCAAACTTCTGTTTTTTTGAAAAATTTCTAGCTTGTTTTTCTGATGCTGACCTCTCGTGAGCTTAATATTTAATTAATTTGTAAAATTTATACTTAGGAATAATACCACATATATTCACAAATAATTACTCAATTTTACTATATATTTTTTACCTCAAATATTTAAATGCTAGGTATTATTCCTAAGTATAGGTATTGAAATTTTATTTAAATTTTTAATCATGGTAAAATACTAGGTTTAATTATAAATCAAAATAATTAGAGAAAGTACACGAAAGACAGTTTAAAAAGATTATTAACGCCCATGACAGGCAATAAAAGATTTTTTTCGCCCATTACAGGCAATAAAAGAAGATTTTCGCCCATGACAGGCAATAAAAAAGATTAGATAGAAAAAAAGAAATCGCCCATTACAGGCAATAAAAAAGATTAGATAAGGATACCTGAAAACTAAACCTTTCGGTTACTTTCTCTAATTATTTTAATTTATAATTAAACCTAGTATTTTACCAAAATAAATTATTAATTTTAAATTTGTACCCCTCTTGTTCCTAGTCTGCTGAACTAGAATATCCTCCTCCCCCTCCTAAATTTATGAATATTTTAGGAAAATAAATAAATTAAAACCTCAACATCAAAACTCCCATCAATAATTAATGTTCCATTCCCCCCACTCCCCTGCGCCTCGCCAGATACGGCGAGGGGAGTGGGTGCCCCATCCGCCTCACAAATTACGGCTGGATGAGGCACGGGCTGGGTTCCTGAGGTCCCAGGACCTGAAGGGTCCTAATTAAAAAAAAATAAAACAATAAACACAAAAAATAAACCTCATTTTCATTCAAAGGAGTGGGTACTCCACCCCGCCCAATTCCCTGCACCTCGCCAGGTACGGTGAGGAGATTGGGTGCCCCCTCCGCCTCGGAAATTACGGCTAGAGGAGGCTCGGGGTGGGTCCCAGGTTCCTCGTCAATCGGCTCCTGGAGTTCGATATCTCCAGCAATTGTTCGCACCTTATTAAAATAAAAAATTTAAAAATTTACTCAAAAATACTTCATCATCTTCTTCATCTTCTCCATCAGGGTGGGGCTCCTCATCCCCCCCATTCCCCTGCGCCTCGCCAAGAACGGCGAGAGGAATGGGTGCCCCCTCCGCCTCGTCAATTACGGCAGGAGGAGGCTCGGGATGAGGCCCAATCATATCCATAGGCCCACCAACATCCACCTTATTAAAATAAAAATTTAAAAATTTACTCAAAAATACATCATCATCTTCTCCAGCAGGGTGAGGCTCCCCACCCACCAACCCTTCCTCCCCTTCACCAAAATTGACTTGTTCCACTACTTCTCCCTCCAGAACCTCATCATATTCTTCTTCCTCTTCTTCCTCATCAGCATCGAGAAGAAAAAACTTTCTTTTGCCTCCGCAAGTAAAGCATTTTGTAATAATTTTGCTCACTTGGTTCTTTTGAAGGAATTCATAGACGAACTCATTAATTTGGTCAATAGTTGTCCATTGAGCTTTGTCATTGATGAAAGATACCTAGAAAAATGAATTTACCGTATATGTTCGAATAATTATCCTGGGTAATTATTGTTTCGAACTATCGCTGAAGGGGTAATTAAACAAGAGGATGGGCTAAATTTTGGGTATATCTCACTCAATAAATCGAAGAGAAACTCCATTTATTTTTTGAAATTGATTCTTATAATGTTCAATAATTAAAATTGACAATGATTTTTTCAATATTTTTGAAATTAAAGAAGGAAAGGGAGGGGGTAATTATTTGAGAGAGAGTAATTATTCGAGCATTTACGGTATTTAAAAAACTTACAAAAAATCAATTATTGTCGAGTTTTCGCAAAATTGGCACTTGTAGTAACGGGCACGTAGTATTTTCTTATATCCATATTTAATAACCTCACAATTATTATTTGAACACTTTGATCTATATATTTTTCTCTTCTTCTTTTTTCCCCCAAGAATTCGAATCATTAAATTAATAAAACAATTTTCTTTTAATTCATAATAAGAAAGAGTACGCCCATCCTCAAGTTGCTTACCAGCAAAAATCTTTAAATTAATTTTAAGGACATGTTTTCAATGTATTTTAAAACTTAAGTTACCAAATAAAATTGTTCATATGGAATTCCTTCCTTGTCTTGAATTTTTGCCTTGACATTCTCAATAGTATCAGAAGGTTTAACGTCGATTGTAATTGTTCTTGAATTCGTAATATTAACAAGTATTTGGAATGTAGCAGGAAGTTTATTGCCACATGACATGTCAACAAATGATCCAACAAGATCACTTTTGGAAAGCACAGCTGCGCGAAGACCACAGGGTTCGATATTAGAAATGGAGTCAACATCGCTTTCTTCTTCTAAATTTAATTAAAATTTAAAATCCTTAAAAAGAATCATATTCAAGAAATTTTAGTTATGAAATATTCAAAACCCGACACGAATTATTTCCCTATTAACCCCCTAAAGCCCAGGGCCGAGACACAAAACCCGGCCTTTTTCTATCTGAATCCCGATCCGGCAAAAATTTTGAAAACCTGACACATATTTCTCGGAATTGACATCCCTGTTATATATTCAAATTAAATTTTAATAAAAAATACCAATGGATGAGAAAAGAGTTGAGTTTGCAATGGAAATAGCTTTAGCCAACCCCTCACTTCGAATAATTTGTGAATCTCTGTCAGCCTCCGCAAGAACAACTTGGGAAAGTTTTTCACTTTCTGCTGGCTTTGCTAATGCAATCGATTTATTTACCTAAAAACGTTTAATTGTTTTGTAAAATCAAAAAATTCAGTAAATTTTTAAAAACATTTTTGCTAGGGAATGACACAACCGGTTATTAACAGGTATCCCCGGTCTCCGGTTAATTCAAATTTTAAAAACTCGGTTTTCGGTTTTGATTTTAGTCAAATACCGGTTTTAATTTGGGGAATTTGTAAAAAAATAAATCATTTTCGTAAATTTCCAGTAATAAAATCGGTTAATTTTTGGCTAAAAATAGATTTATTTACTTGTTCTTGCATTTGAGCTTCAGATTGAAGAATACGCGCACTCTTTTCTCCTTCTGGTGTATTTTTTGCAGCCTCACAAATACCTTCAGATTCGAGAATCATTGCTCTCTTTTTTCGTTCAGCTTCAACTTGCATCTTAATTTTCAAAATTAAAAATAAATTTCAAAATATTTTTTAGCTTACTTTCATTGCCCGCTGTATTTCAGGAGGCATAGTCATTGTACGTATTTCAAATCGAAGGCAAATCATAACCCACGGAGCTGCTGATTCCTTTATTCCTTCTAAAATATTATTTAAAAATTATTTCCAAAAAAATTCTTCCTAAAATCAATTACCAGCAACAGTCATATTTAAATTAGCCCTTTCATGGAAAACATTGTCTAGCATTAATTTGCCTACTTCTGTCCGCATTACTGTTTGAACTAATTGGCTTATAGCATATTCCCGATTTTGAACACCATAAGAAGCCTTTTAAATTATTGAATATTTAAATGATTGTTTAGAAATTACCTTATAAGGATCAGTATCTCTAACATACAAGACAGCATCAAGGTTTAACTGGACAGTATCTTCAGTAATAGCTTGTTGTGGAATTTCAATACACATTTCTTTTAAACATTGACGGTAACGAATTTCATCAACACAAGGAATTAGAAAAGGCACACCCTTTAAAAAGTGTCAAAAAGTTTTTTAAAAAAAGTATTAAATCGATATAAAACAAATGTTTATTTTGGAATTTTTTGAAATTATTTTCCCCCAACCATCCTACTCGATGTACTTTTTAATTAATTCCATAATGAGAAAAACTGGTTTGAGATAAGGGCATAAAGAGGGGGCATAAAAGGGGTGATAAAGAGAAGATTAAACATAAAGGAGGACCCCCAAGACCATCTCAACTTTATAACCAAAAATTCTTTAATTTTGAAAAATTCAAAAGATCACAAACCTGACTTAACAAAGAAAAAGCTCCAGTATTTGGTAAAGGCACAGTTGGGACCACAACTCTTTGTACATGTATTGCGTTGAGTAAACCTTCAAATTCCATAGCTTTTATATTTAAACTATCCAATATAGCTTCTTTGTCTGCCAATGTTGTATCTTCATTTGGATTTGGAATTCGAGCACTTCACGAAAAAATAGGGAAATTTATCACAAAAAATTAAACAAAAAAGAAACCTTATTATAACACACAAATTTATATTAACAGCACGCAAATCTGCTCGAGAAAGTGGATTACCCTTTAAAGAAAAAATAAGAATTTGTAAAGTAAATGGCCTAATAGAAGCTCTGGACATGTATTTTCCAATGGGTCTCATTAAGGGGCTTCTAAAAGGAGTTGAAGTTCCATCCCAGATGGTCAGCAACCCCTCCTTTTTCCCTCCTCAAAATAATAAATGATCAGCCTTTTATCAGATTATAGTCGAATGACACCAAAATCAACCCCCGGTATTAACCTTGGGTCGAGATAGACAAAATCCCTGCGCAAAGCGAAGGTTTTGCAAATGTGTTACCGACTACAATCGGATTACTTTATGTCATAACTCTGCCAAATCTTGTTCAATTACATTGATTTTTATGTCAGTCAACTGACCATTTTTAATTGTTTTGAGGAAGGAAAAAGAAGGGGGCATACGAAAAAGGAGGGGAATACTATTGAAGGGCCAGACACCCCCACAGAATTTTCAATATTTAAATAAGAAAACAAACCTTTTTACAAATATTCATAAAAGGATCAAAGCCTCGCAAAACGCCGGAGCCATTCCTTAAATTTTACTAAATAATAAACAAAAATCTAAAAAAACCTGTTTCCATTTAATTTAATATTGACTTGTTTGTCCATGTATTTTTTCAGCTCTGGATGTGATTTAATCATTTTTTTGAATGAAGATTTATAATTAACCTTCTGAAATTTTTTCATTAAAAATTTTACGAAAAATGAAAAAAAAATTTTTTTGAAAAAATAACAAAAAATAAAGCCTGACTCCAAGCCAAATTTAAAAAATATATAATGCCAAAATTAAAATTTTTATTACAATAAGATTTAAATTTTTATTATAAACGGTTGAGTCCCGGTCAGTTGAGTCCCAGTCATATTTTGGGCCATAACTTTTTTGATTTTAAAATTTCTTTAAAGAATTTTTTATAAAATTTTTTAATAAATTAAAAAAGGGGCGTTCCTAGGCATTCTTAAGAAAATGAGTCAACCGACCATTTTCACAATTCATTTAAGAAAATTTTAAATAAAATTTATTTTAAACAATTTTATTTTAAATAAATATTTTAAATAATTTTTTTATCCCCACAAATGTATCACTCGAGGGGCCATTGAAAAAAGCCTTGCCTGATGTGCGGTAAATTATTTGGCACCCCCAAAAATTATAGACCCCTCCCGAAAAAAGAGGGGTTTTGCGCCAAAACATTGTTTTTTCGCGCACAATTAATCCAAACCCCTTCCAAAGGGAGGGGTTTTGCGCCAAAAATTAACTTTTCGCGCAAAAAAGTGCCCTCTAGGCACGGATTTGGCGGCATCTTCAAAGAAAAAATACCGCACCTCAGTCACAGGCTTTTTCAATGGACCCCTCAAGTGATACATTTGTGGGGGACTTACTACTTTCATTCAACATTCAACTTAATTTCCCTTTAAAAATATAGGCTTTTATGCTCTCCTTTGAAAGAATTTAAAGAATAAAAGAAATTGGAAAGAATTTGTGTATTTATTTTAATATTTAGGTGTTCAGGATTTATTTAATTTTTTCCTATTCAATTAATTTTGAATAGAAGACAGAAAAGTTAGGGCAATAAAAGGGTCTCTTTTCTGGACACTTCCGGTGAAACTCTAATATAGAGGAATAATAAAATATCTTTTATTTAGCGTTATATAGGGAGATATAACATTATATCGGGAGATATTTTAGTCCCAAAGTTGTAATTTTAAGGTCCGACAGATTCTTATAAGTTTTAAACTTTTTTAATTTATATTTAATTTTTTTGTTTATTTTTTAAAATTTCTCTTTCATATTTCCTATTTAATTTTTGCCTAATCAATTATTGAAAATTTTAAATTATTGCCGAGACTGGGCGCGTTACTCGCAAAACATAAAGCTGGGCTATAGCTATTTGGACTATAGCTAGCTAAGCTCTAGCTAGCTGGGCTATATTAGACTTTAATAATTTATTTTTATAATTTGCCTATTCAACTATTAAAAAATTTTAAAATATTGTCAAGTTGCGCGCGTGAGAGTTTCTCGCTAAACATAAGGCTTGTCTCTTACCATTTTTTTACTACGCACTAAAATAGTTAAATTTAATTTTTAAATTTAAAACTTTTTATTGGCAAATAAAAATCTAAAACATATTCATTAAAGTTTGCTAAAAAGTCCAAAAATTTGTAAAAATGCCCAGATCAGATCATCCAGTCTTACTTCTGTTGGTGTTGCCTCCAGTCTTACTAAAACAACAACAGAAAGTACTGAAAGTTCTTCCTTTTAGGGAAAACATAAACGGAAAAATATTAAATATAAACTTCTTATCTTGTGCCACAGGCGATAATTTTGAAATTGAGGAAGAGCGGGAAGCCATAATCCTCCTTTTTGGCTTCAAAAATTCAAATTTTTTAAAAATTCTGAAATAGAAATCGCCAAAAAGCTGAAATCGAAAATCGAAAGGAAAAAACTAGAAAATCGAAATTTCGAATTTATTTTTAATTTTTGCCTAATCAATTATTAAAAAATTTAAAAATATTGTCAAGGTGCGCGCGTGAGAGCTTCTCTTAAACATAAGGCATGTCTTTTACCATTTTATTGCTTTACAACTGACTTAAATAAAGTTAAATTTAATTTTTAAAAATTTTAAGTGGAAATATACATCATCATTAAAGTTTGTAAATAGTTGATACTATACTCTCTCCTTCAGCTAGTGTAAAGCATATAGCTATTAATTTCCTAAGGCTGAGCAGTAGGCGGCGTGGTGTATAATGGCCAACACATCAGTCCGGTCTACTGAAGATGCTGGTTCGCTCCCAGCCGCCGAATAACCTTTTGCACTAGCTAAAGGAGAGAAATAGCTATAGCCCAGCTGCTTTACTCTAGTGCATAAGGTATTCGGCAGCTGGGAGCGAACCAGCATCTTTAGTAAACCGGAATGATGTGTTTTTTTGCCTAATTTGCACCACACCGAATACTCACGGCCTTAGGAATTAAATAGCTATATGCTTTCTTTTAATAATTACTATCTTAGTATTATAATACTTTTACATAGTTTATATAATTTTTAGAAATGCACTTTATTTTCCAAATTCGTTTCACTCTTCTAGAATGTCTCATATGTAGTCATTTATTTGTTAAATTTGGTGCAGGATAATGATGCGCAACAGGGCGAAATGATAAGGATAAACATAAACACAACGGTAAAATACTGTTTAACAAGAGTTTCTGATATAATATTTGGATTGGAACATAATATTTCTGTTATTCCCCCCCCCCCCTCTCTTTCCTTTTTTGTTAATTTAACGGCTATAACTTTTTTAAGTTTAATCCAACCCGGATGTATCTTTGTTATTTGAAACCACTCGATAAGCGATATAATCTACTCAACTCCATGGATCAAGTCTAATTTCCATTAAAAAGTTACAAGTCGATAAGTGCAAGCAATCGTTTTTTAACATTTATCGACATGTAACTTTTACATAGCGATCGGACTTGAAGCATACATTGGGAAAAAGTTAGCATTTATCGAAAGCCTTTGAATATTATAAGATTTCGGGTTGGATCAAGCATAAAAAAGTTATATATGATAAAAATCGGAATAATGAAAATGGGGAAAGATAAAAAAAGAGTACCGCGTAATATTTCATTAATAAATTAATTATTTTAAGACCAAAACGAGGCTACACCGTCTTCTCAGGTAGTTTTAAAAAAATCTATAATATATTTGGATATTTTGTCGAGATTCTTCGCCAATCTAATCTCGAATCCTTATGTTTAACTTAGAAATATATTTTAAGTTCTATGTTGGGCATATTTTTACTTTGAGTTGTTTGAAGTTATTTCATTAATTGTAATTAGATTTTTTTATCAATATACCGTATTTAATCTAATTGAATGGCAATTTTTTGGAATATTGAAAAATAGAATGGCTGCCATTCTATTAGAATAAATACGGTATACACATTTATGTAAAGTTCGTGAAAAATATAAAAATTATTATTGATATAACGATAAAAATTTTTAGTCTGGACATACTCATGAATCGCCAGGATTATTTGACCTTGCAACACCTTACGGAATCTATAATGATAACATTTCGGAATGGGATGAGTATCGGTATAATTTATTATATTTTGTTAAAAAAAGAGATTTTAGACATATCGTAGAATATTTTTTAGAGTACCGAACTTTAAAAGATAATATGTTTAAAGCTCCCAAAAAACTTCTATCATCTAATTTTTATAATTTTAACCATAAAATTTTGCATTTACAGTGATAATTACGCTTATCATCAATATTTTCAAAATCAACAACATTATGATGAAGAAGAAGCTAATAAAGAAGACATTAGTAATTTTTGCATATCATATTTTAAGGGCCTACCGAGAGTAGATTCAAATGGGTACATGCCAACGTACCACGAGGACAACGGCACTCCCTATCCTCACAAAAATAGGTTATGCTGTTTGGTGAGGTTGAGTCGTGGCACCAGCTAGTGAGTGGGCACTAGCACCAGAACCGGAACTGTGGACCAGAGCACGTTTCGCACAGTGATAAGCAGAAGTGAATGGAGCACGTTCAATTTAACAACCAAAAATAATTTACTTCCACAATATATAAACAATTGGACAACAGCAGCGAACAAGTTGAAAGCAGGTTAAGGGCTAGAAGCAGATCAGCCACATACAAGTGTTGGTGGAAGTTGTTGAAGTTAATGAAGAAGAAAGAGGATATTTGTCGGGCTGATCTGCTTCTTAAATAGACAAAAATCCAGGCGGGGTTAGGCAATAAAAATGTAAAGTTTGAAAAATTGCGCGAAGTAGCTAGAGAAAATAAAACAGAAAAGAAGACTCGGAAAAGAGAAACCAAGTCTAAAAACAAAAAAATTTTAGAGAACTAAAGGTGTCTGGTACGAACGGACACAAAAATAAGAGAAAGGAACGGGCAAAAAATAAGAGAATAGCTCTGCGGTTCCTCGCGGTACATTGGCCTTCTCCCGGTTCAAATTGTTCTGGGTATATATACGTAGTTTCCCCGTATGTGGAACAGTTTTATTTTTAAAATTACGAAAAGCATTACAAAGTTTATTAGATTTTGAAATTACAATTAAATCTTAGGAGCGTAGTAAGTATTCCTTTAGGACACAGTAATTTTATCCTAAACTACCTATATAATTAACACGAAGACATGACATGCATTGACAGTTTTTCGATAATAAACATAATATTTTTCTAAGATATGAGCAATCCTCATTTTGAACAACTAGAAAACCATGAGGTAGTCCAACAACCTTCTGACAATATAACGGAAATTAAAGCGATAGGAAAGAAAAAAGGTAAGTTTTTTGAATCTAAAATTGGGCTTGAATCTAAAAATTATAAGCATTAATTAATCCAAATAATTGTAAAATAGCATTAAATCTTGTATGGTTAGCCAGAGTAATTCTGAAAAATATTTAAAAATACTTTCCTATTCTGATGTAGATATCCAATATTATAAAATATTTAATTGATAATAATTAGTGATCAAACTAAGAGGGTCGTTTATAAATCGTATGAGATACCACTAAAAATCTCAAATTCTATTATCGAAAGTTCTTGTAACACTGACTCGCTATGTCAGTCAGTGCTATAGCTTCTTGGCCTTCATAATTCTACAATTATTATATTTAGTTAAATCAGAAGTCTGGAAATATTTTACACAATATAACAAAGATGATGGTGCCCGATATGCTCAATGTTCAATTTGTAAAAAGGAATTTAAATTTCCACCAAATTTTTCATCGGCAGATTTCAAGAAACATCTTAAAAGACACGATATATTTCTTTGAAGAAGCGTATTTATGATTAGTTCCTTATCCAAGAAATTTCTTTAGAAAACGTTGATTTTTATATTATGATGATATATTGGGAACTTGAACAGCAAACCAAACTGGACTTCTAAATCCCTATATTTTTTCACGTCACCTCCAGAGCTGTTTCGAAATTTATATTTCAATATTTCTGAACATTTTCAATTTCGAATTTTCTAAGATTTTTTTGGGCTAAAGTACGTTTTATGGGTCTGATCCTGATTTGGATAACTTATATGTCATTCGAAAGAGCTCGTCGAGCTGAGTCGAACGACATCAAAATTATCCCGCGGACTCAACTATGGGCCGAGGTACAGGCCCCCAAAATCGAAAAACCATAGGGGGGACCAAGCACTTTTTGGGGGTGAAAAATTCGAATATGCCAATTATACCTCATTCGAAAGAGCTCGTCGAGCTGAGTCGAATGACATATAAATCATCCAAATCGGTGTCAGACCCATAAAACGAACTTAGGCCTTTTTTGTATTAAGACAGATCTGGTCATCACTGGCCCGGAATGTCTGTTACACATTGAACTGATATTTAACGATATAATAAAACTATTCTATTATTACTAAAAATAAAAATTCGTATTAAAATTTTTAAATATGTGATAAAAATCAGAAAATAATTCCATCAATTATATCGTTAGGTATCAGATATTTTTCTTTATTTTTCTCTGTCCATTACTGGTGATTTTTTCTTTTATATTTTAAATTGTCCTAAATATGATTGCATTTTTAGATTTTTGTTTTAACTTTTTTCATCTTCATTTTTTTAATCTTTAAGATAAATCTTTTAGTTTTATTTTGGCATTAGAGAGAATTTTAATTAGAGTTCGAACTTTTCACTTTGCCGGGCCCGGTATCCGGGTTTTTTCTTCAAATCCGACCCGGGCCGGGCTTCCGGGCTAAAAACCTCGAAAACCCGGAAGCCCGGAAAAACCTGATTTTTTTACACCCGGGCCCGGACCCGGTTTTTCAAAAATCAAAAAATGATCAAATTTTAGCTTTTTCGCTGAAATTATTCTTATTTTGAATAAGAAATTATTAAAATTTGGTGTCATCTTTCATCTATACGTGTTAATGTGAATTTAACGGATTATATAATTTAACGGATTAATTTAACGGATATCTATTAATGTGAATTTAACGGATTAAGGGAAATATTGCTGGATTTGGCAGGATCTGGAGGGATTAATATGGATTTACAGGGATTAGATAGTCCCGATATACCTCTAAATCTTTGATATCCCTCTATAATTATTTAATCTGGGGAGGAGGGTCTTCTTGTTTATCAACTTCCCCTGTTGATGGCACAACCTTCACTTTTGTTGGAACTTCCTATATCATCATACTTCCGACAGAAGTATGATTACGTCAACTTCGTCAATTTCTGACCAAACCGTGTTTGGACAACTTCCTCAATCATTGGAACAACCTCCCCCATTGTCGGAACAATATCCCCCATTGTTGGAACAATAATTCCGGGGTTGGACAGCAAGAATAAAACATTTTATCAGCGCCGCAGGCGAAAATTTTTGAATTTTTGGATGTTTAAGGAGTCAGAATCGACCAAAAAGCCAGAATATTTTATAAAATTTACTAAAATTGGACCCGGGCCGGGCCCGGGTTTTTCAGAACGACCCGGGCCGGGCTCCCGGGCTAAAAACCTCGAAAACCCGGAAGCCCGGAAAAACCGGGTTTTATCAAAATACCCGGTTTGCGGGCTACCGGGCCCGGAAACCCGGTCCCGGCCCGGTTTCGAACTCTAATTTTAATTTAGAAATGAATTTCTCAAAATTTTCATCTGTGACGATTAAAATTTCTCGTTCAAACGTGCGAGTAACTTAGGGTCTTACATAAGACCTGTACGAAAGTATAAGTACGAGTAAGATCAAATTTCATATGCTGAACCATACCCATAATTTTTTCAACATTTCATGTCCCTTTTAATTTTTCATTAAAAATTTTCTTAAATAATTACATAGGAATACCTATATACTATTATATTTAATAATTATAAAGTAAACGATCAAACACGGGATTATTTTCAACCTCTTAGTATTGATAAAGTTTTTTGTGATAAATGCAATCGTGGAATGTCAAACTTGCATTTGAAGCCTTTACTAAAACATATTGAAATTTATTGTAAAGGTAAATTTCCTAATATGTAATTTTCACATTTCAAAATTATTACGGTAATAGTTTGAAATTCGCCTCCCTTTTTTCCTTTCTATTTTTTCTAGTTTCTTCTCAGTTTATGTTAAATTATATATCATATGAAAGAGCCCATCGAACTGGTCTATTGACATTAAAATCAACAAAATCCGGCTTAAGAGAACAAAGTTGTGACCGTTTATTTTATCCCCTTGCATTGGCGCAAGAAAATTTCCCAACGAGGATTATGCTTTATAATTCTGGAAAGAATCATCAGATCTAGCCAACCTTGTGTATCATTCGACCAAGCTCGAAGATCTGTTTCGAAAGATATAAAATAAATTATATATCATTCAAAAAAAGCACAAAATGGACAGGGAAACATGAAAAAAAGTGTTGGCAAATTCCAAACTATTACCATTATTGCTAGTAAATAATAAACAATAAGAATGAACAAAAATAGCGGAAATTATAAGATTTTTCAAAATTTTTTGAAAATTCACAAAAAAATAGTATTTTTAGGAAAATATCAAACATAAAAACCGGGACACGCCCAAGTAGGCGCGCGGCCAGGTAGGCGCAAAGCCATAACTACCTGGAAAATTTCTGGACCTTAACAATTTTGATATCAAATCTTTAGCTCGAGGAGAGGAATCGTTTAATGCTAAATTTTGAAAGATTCGAAAATCTTGAAGCAAGTTATGGCTTTGCGTCTACATGGCCGCGCGCTTACTTGGGCTGTGCCCATAAAAACCCTAGGCGTAACTATGAATTAACGAATAAATAATATTTAGTTTATCAAAATTTCACCTCAATTATCAATGGTAAAGTTAGATGTAAGCAATGCAATAAAGAAATAGAAGGTCAAAAGACGTGGAATTTGTCTCAGCACTTAAGTAAACATTGCAAAAATAAACGAAAAAGTAATTTACATAAATATAATATTCAAAGTTTCAAGAAAAATAATAGTTCTCAATCAACATTTTATTTTAAATAATAAAATATTTCTGAATATTTGTTAATCGAAATAAAATTAAAAAATTAAAATTTATTGTTTAATTTTTAGAAGCGGAAGCGTCAAAAGTTGAAGGAGGAGATAATGAAGATATTGATAGTGAAGCTACAGAGTCTGATAGAGACTAAAGCAAAGATTATTTAAGTTACTTTTTGATAAATTCCGAGACTGGACACAAATGTATACAAGAAAGAATGTAAAAATTATTTTTAAAAACAAAAAAAAATCACAAAAAAATTTAAAAATTAAAAACCAAAAAATTATAAGTAAAATGCAAACAAAAACAAAGATAAAATTTTTTTATCAAATATTCATTTTATTTTATTATTTTTAGTTTTAGTATAAAAATTAGATTTAGTAAAAAAGT